AAATATTTTAATTTGTACAAGGCTTGCTAATTGTTAGAAGTGTTATAAAATAGTATATAACAATGTCAGAAGAATGTATTTAATACTATCACCATATTTTTAACAAATGAATCACAATATCATTAGGCTAGAGATCCCAGTTTTTTACAGTTGCCTTAGATCATGAAATAATCATCATCTACATTCTAAGCAAAGAAAGGGAAGACAGATGAAGAAAGAGTATTTCCCATTCTTTTTTTAAAGTCTTGTTACATGGAAAATGTGTTCTTGGAATAAATCCTATTATATCCCATTTCTATACCTACATGATTAATTTCCAGAAATAGAGCTCTCAGCACTATAGAAAAAAAATAATTTCAAGTGCTTGGTGCATCAGAAATGTGTCTGTATCAAAACAAATAATGATATAAAAGAGTTCAAAAACAATTTTTGTTTTTCAGTGTATCCTCACCGCATTCAGAGAAGTCACTGACTTCTCTGTAAAGTAAGAACTTTAGTAATAAACAAAATTTGAAAGCTAACTCAATATTAATGTACTTTGTCGTGTATAACACACACCCATGTTTTTGGCCCAAACTTTCAGGGAAAAAAAATCTTTCATTTTAATTATATCATTCAATTTTTTATTTATGTATACTTAGATACTTGTTTTTTATATTATAAAGGGACTTTAGCTTTTATTTTTAAACATATCATGGTACAAGAAATTTTATGTAACAAATAATTACAAAACACAAGAACAGATACAAGGTATTTCAGGCACTACCCCTGTATAATGCACATCCTTATTTTTCCCTCAAAAATTTGGGCAAAAAAGTGCACAATATACACAGCAAAATAATATTATTTAAATAGATAGAGATGATACAAAAATGTGAAGCTACAAAGACAGTAGCCACTCCTTAAGTTGGCTCAGAGCGGGGGCCATGAGGCTTAGGGCCACAGGGAAGGGAGGGGGTGAGAACTTTCATCAAAGAAGGGGCTGGGGTAGACTGGCTTTGAGTCCCACGCTTTCTTTTTTTCACCTAATTAGTTGAGATATTTGTCCTTAAAACTAGACTGTACAGAGAGATTGGATAACTTAATGCTAGATCATCCCCCTTTGTCAGCACATCCAGAGCCAGGACCAGAGGCCTACTCATAGTTGTCATCAGGAAAGTCCCAGAAAGTCAGGACGATGGTGGCCCTCCCTTTGATTTCAGGGGCACCATGGCATTCTAGAATCCAGGAGAAGGGGTGCAGTGTTAGATGAACAGAAGGAAAGCTAAGCACAGAACTCTTGCTATACATCCCATGTGGTTTTCTAGAAGAACTCTTCCCAGCTAGGCGCCTTGGAGCAACTTAGGATGGCCAAGAGGCCAGGCAGGAGAAGAGCCTGAGTTAGCTTCTCTGAACGACCCTGAGTGGCATGAAAGGAAGGACCTAGAAGTGCCTGCATCCCCCAGGGTGATAAAAGAGTAGTAGAGACTCTGTGTGGGAGGCTTGCTAGAGGGGGTCATCAATGCCACACAGAAACACCCTCTGTGGTCACAGGCTGCAGAAGATGAGCGGCCAGTCCCCAGGGACACTGCAGTGTCAGATGCTGAGGCAGCGGGGAGGGCCTCCTGCAAGCCGACCACCTGATGATGTCTGATGGGGCAGCCCGCAGGGCTCCAAAGCAGAGGCAGCCCCTAGAGGGCAGAGAGACAAAACATGGTCCCTCAACACTCTCTGAAGTCCCCTCTCCAACTCCTCCACCACAAGGTCACTGCAAGCCCTCAACTAATGTGCCACATCAAGGAAGAAAAGGAGATGGGGAAAAAAAATCCAGAGGAGATCATTTACAAGCAGGAACCCCCCAAAACCCACTTTATTAATTAAAAATTGTGTATTTATCCTTACATATTTAAACTTCAGTCACCTACACAGTACTCTCCTTCTAATACAATACACCTATCGAGACATTTTTTCCACTGCTCAAAACAGTTTCTGAACTCATAGATTTTGGTGCTTTGTAATGCCTCTGCTTTTTTGTTTTGTTTGTTTGTTTCACCTCTTTCACGTTGGCAAAATGTTTCCCTTTGAGAACTCTTCTCATCCAGGGAAACAAAAAAAAGGCATTTGGGGCAAGATCGGGTAAATAGAGAGGCTGGGGCACAGGGGTCATGCCGGTTTTGGTCAAAACCTGCTGCACACTCAGTGCAGTTTGGGCAGGTGTGCTCAAATCACCTATCATGAAATGGGAAAAAACGGTCTTTAAAAAAATTTTAACTGAAGCCAGATACATCCTCTCACAACAACCCCAGCCGGTGCACTGATACAGATGGGTTCCTCAACACTCACCTAGCGGGGGAAGCCTGTACTATGAGAGGCCCAAGCTTCAGAAGATAATTCCGGTTTTCTTCCGGAATTATATGGGAGGGTCTCCCTCCGTAATGCTGGAATAGGCCAAGTTACCTGAGAAACACTGATTCTAGACTATTGGATAGGTTTTCATTTACCAGACTGAACTAAACATAGTTTCTCACCTCTTATCCAGAGAGTGGGATCTTTGAAGGAGCCTAGGCAGGCTGTAGGAAAATGAAGAGGCTTTTCTTGGTACTGAATGTAGGGTGCAAAGTTACAACACTTCTGAGTGATTAACAATCCCCAAAGCCACTGCTAGTCTCTCCTCCTCACCTGTTCCCCTCTTCCTGTTGGGCTTCTTCCAACCAGTCCCAAAATAGCCACGGCCCTTCAAGCCCGCCATTTCCTCTCCTTTGGCAATCATTGCTTTCAGAGAACCCACTCTTCAGCACTGTGATCTTTCTCTCTCATTCAGCAACAGTCATCCCCAGGACAGGCTAATCCGACTGAATCTTGCCTGAGGAGCTAGAGAAGGAACCTGCAGGCCCCTTGCTATGTTGGGAACTAACCCTTCAGATCCTGTACTGGTGTGGGGTGAGGGAGTGTCTCAGGGTAGATGCTGGAGCAACTGGCTTGGGGGAGCACTCAGAGGCTCAGGGCAGTGGCTACTTTCCAACCACTATGGGAGAATTTCAGTATTTAACAATCAGTGCAGCCAGACTGGTGAGCACTAACTTGATATCAGAAGCTTCTATGTCTTCTCCCCTTCTTTCCATCAGAGCCCAGGCTCTCCAGAAGCCACTGTCTCTCTTCCTAGCCCTGTGCCAGAGCTCCTAGCCTCCCTCCCTCCCTCCCTCTCTCCTTCCTTCCTTCCTTCCTTCTTTCCTTCCTTCCTTCTTTCCTTCCTTCCTTCACATGGTCTCAGCCCCACCCTCATAGCAGGAGCTGGTTGGTGTAGAGGAGTAAGAGAAGTAACAACTGTAAGTGAGGATCTGGAAACTCACCCAGGGTTGGATCAGAAGAAATTGTGGCATTCACGAACCCACTGGTACGCTGGTCACATCTCCAGAAGAACAGAATTATAAATGGCAGATCCACATTGAAATGAGGACTGCTGTTACACTATTAGACGGAGTCACATGGGCTGGCCAGGAACCTAATTCACCCATTAGGATGTTACTTATATGAAAACAATGCATTTATAAATTCCCATAGAATCATTATAAAGAAGCCTTTCAGACACAAGCTCTTCTCATTTGAGGGTTGTCAGAGTAATGAAATTTCTAGGCACTTATTATTAGCAGAAACTTGAAAATAGACATATAATACAATGAAAGAGGCAGTTCAATAAAGAAATTAAGGCAAAGGGAAACAACTGTGAGAAAAAGCACAGTGGATAGTTTACAGTTTTAAAATGCATGCCTCAAGGCAGGTCAAGCTTACTACTGGCCAATGTAAAGAAAAAATTCACTAGTTACATGGTTCCTGAGATTTTGTTTTGTTATTATTTTTTAGTAAAACACCCAATTATGCTTAGTTTTGCAGGCTGAGAAAAATTTCTTCCATGGATCCTCAACAAAGGACTTCATATAATGTGGTTATCTAAGAGAATAGCTAATAACTTAGGGGAAACTATCCAAGTATTTGCCTGCATTGTTGCCTTCACACCTCAGAAAAACTCTGAGGCTCTTCTGAGATGAGGAAAAGGTGGCTCAGAGAATTTCAATGATTTGGCCAGGTCAGATATATCATAAATGGTGGGCCTGGGACTTGACTGGATGTTAGTCATTGAAGTCCCTGCTGTTGACCACTGCTTTCTGGAATAAGTAAATTCTTTCTGGAATTTCTTATAATGACCACAATAGCCGATGACAAAAATATGTGTCAACAAAGGAGCAAATCATCTTCAAACTAGAAGCTGAAAGCATTACTTGTAACACTTTAATTTTTTTATACTAAATTTTGTACTTTCCACTATTAAATTAGTAGGGAAAAAATGGATGTTACTTTTCAAGGCTACAAATTCTTTATTTCTCTAGTAAATAAAACAGGTCAAATTTTCAATGTTCCATGTTTTTTCTTTTGTGTAGGTTGCAGGTTCTCACACAGACTTGGAAGGGTTTTCTCACTGTCTTTGAGAAGTAAGGCACAGTTGTCAACTCTAGAAGATTCTTTCTTAAATAGTCTGCCATCTTTTGTTTAATTTTGCAGCTCTGTGGAAAACAACTTAGTTTTTTTTTCCTACTTGCAAAAGAAATTTTTCCACTAAAACCCATTGGAAATGTGAGATAAGTTATTTTTCTATCAAAGAAAAGCTTACTAATTATTTGTATAGCATTTTCCCTTTGTGTCGAAGAGTGGCATTAAGTGAATGCCCACAAAGCATCTTAGACAGTAAAGAAGGATTAAAACTGAAGGCTAAACCCGAGACAGGTTTATGTACACTGCATGCACTTTCCTGGTGCTTAACGTCTTTCGCCTCTCTATAGAGGATATGAGAGGACAGCACTTCCGTCACAAAATAGGACTAATCAACTTAGTTGAGTTAGTATTTAAGGCAAGGTGAATTAATTAAGAGTGTCTGCAACAGTTGTCAGATGTGTTTTTCAACCTGCAGTCAGAGAAGCTTCTGCAATTTAAAGACAGAAAGTCTTGGGGATGGTTTTTCCGTGAGCAATGTCAAAACCAAGAGATCTCTCCGGAGGACGTAAGTATACAGATCTGCACATGAATTAGTCCAGACGGAGGCTATAATCACTTTTATTAAAATGTTTGCACATGCAAAATAAAAGGACAATTTTATGTTAGAAGGAATATAGTTCTATAGGAGTTTAATGAAAAAATGAAGAATTAAGGAAATAACCTTGTATAAATATCATTAATAGCATTCCTCCCACAATCGCTGGGTGGGTACAATATAAAATAAAATAAAGTACACTTTGGAAAAATAAATTTATACAAAGATTTATCTGTAAATGTTTTGGCTCCATTACTACATATAAGTTAGCTAATAAATTCTTATTTGGGTGAAGTTACTAAAGAATAAAGATAATATACTGTTCCTGCCAAATAAAGAAATAAATACTGCCTTGGCTGTTATTCTTTAAGTAAAAATAAAGGGAAGTTTTTAAAAGATAAAGTCAGCTTAAAGTTGTATATAAATTTAAGAATTTTGTCATTTTTAAATATATTAAGTACCTGCCTCTCTATGATACTACTATATATTTACTGTACATTATTATTTTAATGGCCTCCCATTACTGAAGATAACTGTATTCCAAAAACTGTCATGATGTATAGACTACATGAAGTATCAGAGTAGAAAATTTCAGGAAAAAACAATGAGGAGAAAACTATCATAATCATGAAAAAAAAAACTCATGCTAATATTTGTTAACTCATTCTCTAAAACTATCTAAAATACCTAAAATTCAGTTCAATTATTTGAGTATTGCTAGAATTCAATTTTAGTCTATGTACAAAATTATATTTAATAGGCTTTGCTTCCCAATCTTTTGAAGAAAGTGAACATAATTTCTACAAACTGTAGTAGCACATAAATTATTTTGAATTCAAGTAGAAAAGAAATATCATTGCTACTTGCTTAATTATGTCAAAGTTTAATGTCTTTGTGTCACAATAACTGCAAGTGTGCCTAGAACTTTACATTTCAAGAAGGTGTGAATGGATCTAATGACAAAGTGCTTCCAGAAAGGAAAGAAATAAGGGGTGAGGGAACCAAGCACATATCATTTGTCTTCAAGGTATTCCCAGTGACGTGATGTGTTTAAAAAGTACTAAAGCACATGCGTTTAGTAAAAGTGAAATACATTTTCCGATGACTACCAACCACTTCTGTATTAACTGTCTTTGTTGGCAGTACTACAGTGATAACTCATTTTTGTTTATACTGTTTTAGAATAACAGAAAAAGTTATTGCAAAGATGGGTAGGGAGGGAGTATGCAGGGACCCAGAGTGGAAGGCCCACTGAGGAGAGGCTCGGAGCAGAGTCCGGGAGAGGCATTAGAGAGACTTCTGCAAAACAAAGTGGGAAGAGTGTATTTGGGGTTGTTGGGGTACCAGCTGAAAGAAGGTCAAGAAAATGAAAAAGAAACCAGAGCCTGGCTTGTCAAAATTGCCGAAAGGAATGTTTCACAATGAGAAGTCATCTTCAGTTTTAAGTTGTTTTTGACACACATCCCTCTCCAATCAGCCAAGACCTCAGTAAAGTCAGGCACACGCTGTGAATGGTTTTATGTGGACATTGACAGAAACGCACTGCATTCTGAGTCAGTGAGCCATGAGGTCGACTGGGAACCTCACAAGAGCAAAAATTCACAGACAGGGTGCCCACGGGGATGAAATCCCCAGGAATGGGCAGAAGCCTTGCAGAAGATGTAGGGTGGGGACTGTAGGTGACATTAGTCACTCAGATTTTAAGGAACAATATCATTTGTCCTGTTCTAAATTACTGTGATGCACATTTGGGTTGGAGATATTCTAAAATATTTCTTTCACTTGAAATAAGTACTTGGATAATTTCAGAATTCCCTTGTAATCTTCTCAAGAAACATGTGATTCTAAAATTAGAAGAATCAAATATTTTACTCAATTTATTCATCTAGTCTTACCTTGAGCTTTGTTTCAATTCACAAATGTATTCTGAATACAATAATTTGTACTTTATACAGTATTTTATATAATTATTCTTAAAATTTTTCATTGGGGTAAAAATAGATTTCACACTTCTAACTATAAATAGAAGAAATTAGCATCATCTCTCTTCTCACAGCTAATTTTTCTGTTAGAAGTATTTGACAATGAAATGCTTTGAAGCAGCTCTTTGGGCCTTCCTAGTTTTAAACATGATTTTACATTTATTATTTTTAAAAACTAAAATATACTTCAAGGAATGTAAACAATGCTTTAGCATTATGCTTTTCAGAACTCACATTAATATAGGACACTTAGGATAGTAAATACGTAAAGATACTGAAGATTGTTTTATACCTTTAAAAAAAGACCTCTAAGGATACCTCTTTATAATTTTAATTTAAGAATTTATACTTATTTTTCTCAAAATTTTAGAAACACTTAATCCTACTGATCTCCCTTTTAAATGTAAAAAGTTACCAAAAGCAGCAGTTATTTAAAAATTCATTTATTTGAAATTAATATATCCTAGAATTCATGCATCATACATACAACAAATATTCTCTAAATAATTGCTCAAAATCAGGGTTAGACAAAGTCAAATTGCACTGACTTTATTGAACGGTCATAGTATAGTCAATGAGAAACTGAAATGGGGTCAAATTTGCTCCTGGCTACCGGGGACCAGACAAGCATTCAGTAAAAATCTGCTGATTTGGCAAGGGCTTCAGTTCATGAAGTTCATGTCTTACTATTGCTGCCCTAATCAGTTGAGACAGAATTAGCACTAGCTAAGTCTCCTGTGTGCTGTCTGAAGGGGTTTGTTGAGGGTAAGAATCTGAAGACAAAGATTAAGGAGGCCTCATCCTCCTCAAGTGCTGGGCATCCAGGCTTAGAGCTCTGGGTCAGAGAAATCCCCCCCGAATGCAAACCTAAGCACCAGTGCTCCCTGGCAGCCCGGATTACCTCCACATTCAAGATGGGTATTCCAGTCTGCACTTTGATTCAAAAGCATTTCATCGGCCATAGCAAAGTGACCTTGGTTCACAATATGTCTACTGTTTTGTTTTTTTTTTAAATGAAGAGGGTATCCAGAAAACATAGAAGTGTTTAGAGACTCATGGGTTGATCCTATGATGCAATATCTCCAGAATGGTGTGTCTATAGAAAGAGATTTGCAGCTTCAAGGATCCACCTGGCTGATGAAGGGAAAGATCTGGTCAATCCCACAATATTTCCTTGGAAGTGTCCTGGTAATATTTGCTTCAAGATATAATTTGGTTCAGGGCAATGAAACTGGTCTGTATGATACTATAATGGTGCATACATATCATTAAACATTTGTCAAAACCTATAGAGTATACAACACTTAGCATGAACCCTTGGGTGATAGTAACGTGTCAATATAGGTTCATGAATTGTAACGAATGTACCACTCTGGAGAAAACTATAAATTGGTGGGGGAGAGATATATGGCAACTCTGTACTGTCTACTCAATTTTGCTGTGAACCTAAAAATACAAATATAAAGGTTTGGGGTTTTTTTTTAAGATTCTATTTGTTTATTTTTAGAGGAGGGGAAAGGGAGGGAGGAAGAGAGAAAAACACCGATTGGTTGCCTCTTGCACACACCTCAACTGGGCATCGAACCCAGGCACATGCCTTGACTGGGAGTCAATCCAGTGACCTTTTGCTTTGCGGGATGATGCCCAACCAACTGAGCCACACTGGCAAGGGAAGTTATTTTATATATGTAATTTTGGCAAACAAAAGGTAACAAGCATAACATGAAAAAAAAAAAGGGGGGTCTTAGTCCGTTCAGGCTGCTATAACAGAACTATAGTCTGGGTGGCTTATAAACATGGAAATTCCCTGAAGGCAGGAAGTCCAAGATGAAGATGCCAGCAGATTCAGGGTCTGTGAGGACCTTCTTCCTGGTTCATAGACGGTCATCTTTTTGCTCTGTCCTCATGTGGCAGAAGGCTGAGGATGATCTCTGTTGTTTCATTTCTATAGGCATTAACCCCAATCATGAGGACTCCATCACCTCCAAAATACTCCAACGCCAAACACCATCACATTGGGGATTAGGATACAACACAAGAATATGGGGGTGAAGGGGACATGAACATTCAGCCTATAATACCAGGCAATGCTTTTTTTAAAGAAAATTTGGGCAGCAAGAAATATGGTAGTGATAAGTAAAGAAGCATTTGCTCATCAAAGGAACTAGGAAAGTCCAATGGAGCCCAGAATCACAACACTTAGGAGTGGCAGGTGTCAATGATTCATTGTTCTCCCCAGAAGCCTCCATGACATAGGGATATTTCCTTATACATTGGAAATAATTCACATTTTAAGTAAAAGCGTGGTGGATTGACTAAAAGATAATAAACTACCATATCAAAAGTGTAACAAAATTTTATAGATTATATTGAATTCCCTTGGAATTGCAAAAAGCAAGAAAGCCAGGCCCAAGAACCATAGAATCCAGAATAGATACGGTACTAAGCAGAGCTTTACATTCAATTTAAAGTAGATGAGACTTGCCTCTGATGACATTTCTTCATGTTCATTAGCCTGATAGCCTTGTGTTCCTCACTTATTTCACTGCACATGTGGATGGCAGTGAAAAAAAACCAAAAAAACCCTGCTGTGTTGTTGCAGACAATGGACCCTACAGAGCCTGGTAGAAATATGCCTGTGGCCGGCGAAACTGGCAGTCCGGAAGAGAGGCATCTGTGCCAGTTGTCTAGTGGAATGACATTAGAAGGTAACTACTTTGCCTCTGCCACACTAGACACCATTGCTGCCCTATCCCATATGCTCTTGGCCCCTTTTTGAGTTCACCTGCAACCATGGAGGTCATTTTCCACCTCAAGCACCTGCATTGCTCAACTTCAGTTTGTTGGACGAGGCTCAGGCACAGCCCAGATGTGAGGGAGAGGTGTGCCAACAAAAACTGATGGGCAGATAGCCAGCCTTTGTCTTCCATTGGGACATTACTCCTGTGTATATGACAAGGTTTCTGAGAGGGTCCCCAGCGGGGCTGAGCACCAGTCACTCACAGTGGTAACTCACACATGATTCACCTCTTATTGGCTTTTCCCTTCCTGATTTCTCTTCCCCACTCCCTCATCATGTGGGCGTCTTTGGGTCACCTCCCAAATAAAATTCCTGCACTCAAGCTCTTGTCTCAAGGCCTGCTTAAGGGGAATCCCAAATTAGACAGTCTCATCTACTTTTGGTTACTGATTTCCACAGATTTCCCTGAGTTGGCATGTCAGGGGAAGAGGGGTGGTCAACGTTGAGGCAATTCTTGCACTGGAGGAATTATGCACCACTCCCTTCCTTCCTTCTCCTTCCTCCTGGTTCATCTCAGGCATCACATAAAATGAAAGAGAGGCACTATATTTTATCATTTCAAAGATTCTATCTTATTCTTTGGTAAATTCAAACTTCTTCAAAAGATAGTCAATTTGTAACAGAAATCAAAGTTCATAAAGTTTCAAAATGAAACACCAGGTTCTATCCCACGTCGTTCTGTTGTGTAATGGTCTACGGGGAAGAAGGTGGCTGTGCCCCAAATCTCATGTAGAGGACCTTCAATTTCAAGCCACGGGGCAATGTCCTGGCCAGAGCCACAAGCCCACGCCTGCTGCATCACCAGCCTGCGTTCCTTGTTGGCGTTCTCACCAGGGCTGGCAGGCACCCAGCAGACATTTTTATTCTAATCCTGACAGAGATTACAGTGAAAATAAATCAGCACTTTTACTATGTGACAGATATATATATAGCCAAAGCAAATGTTAAGTGACCCATGGACTTGAATTTCCAATTTGATCAGTAGGCTTAAATCTGATAAAGAAGCCAAAGAAGTGATTTCTTAATTAAATATCATTGTATTGTTAGTTATTGAATCATGTGCATGTATTAACTATTTACTATTTAAATCAAATATACACACAAGAAAGGAGGAAAGAATAAAAGATCACTACTTTGAAAAGCAGACTTTTTCTTCATAATTTCCTTTTTTTTCCAAACATAGTTGTAGGTGTTTTATTTTTTTAAGTGACAACTAAGGATGAAGAAGAAGGTAAAATGGCTACTACTTATTTAATATTTAAAATTATTCAAAGGACATTAATAATTAACAAAAATATAAGGCAAAATATTATCCCCTTAACAGGTGTCTCTTTTTCTGATCTGAAGATAAAACTATGAATCCTTGTATTTATGTATGTTTGAATATAACTTGGTCACTTGTTCTAATTAAATACAGTCTCATGCTTTCAGCTTATATCCTTTCTAATTAGACATATTTTTAGCTATTAAGGTAGTTTCCCCCTTCTTTTTTGTTTTAATCTTATCAACTAAATAGGAATGTTTTTCCAAAGATTGAACATAAAGGAGAATACATGATTTTTACCTCTGGAAACATACAAATCAAAAGAAGTTGTAAGAAAGGAAGTTGGTATTTCTGGAATCTTGCAAGGCTGGTTTAATTATATTATTGCTTGTAGTGTGGTGTGGTATTACCTGTGGACTCCCCGACAAATTTCAAGGGTACATGGATAAAACACCGAGTTCTACAGTTGTATCTGGGTGCTTACAATGGAGGGCTTTTTGTGTAATTGAAAGCATGGTGCAGCTAGTCTTCCTCAGTGTTGGGAAAATACAAATGGTGTTCATTTTGTTTAAAAAGAATTCAAATAGTTCTCAAAAAATAGAGTCATTTTTTAACATACTTTTCTGGTTCTTTTTAGAATTCTATCAGTGGCGAGACGTACTGATGATAAATCCGATGACGGCCATGAACCCTTTACTGACAGCATCAGGGCAGCAAAGGATCCCCCTGGTTCCCTTACCATTTGAACCTCCAACTGTGAATAGGTATTTCCTTCCAACATCATATTACGGTCAAAGGAGAACACGGACAGTCATTAAGTTTTTTAATGATTTCAACCCCAGTGTTGTTTTATGGTCTAAGGTTATTTCAGTGAACGGTGGTACAGTAATTCACATCAAGATCCTCTGCTGGCTTTACCTTCAATGCACTTCCCACTATTTCCCCTTTGAAGCTTGCATGACATACTCAGCAAATAGCTAACAAGCACCTTTACTACCTGACAGGCATTGTGCAGAGGCAGACATTGGTGGAGTCTGTGAGGGCTGCCATAACAAAATATTACACACTAGGTGGCTTAAACAAGAGAAATCTATTTCTCACAGTTCTAGAGGCTGAAAATCCTAGATCAAGGTGTCAGCAGGGTTGGTTTGTGGTGAGACCTCTCTCCTTGGCTTGCAGGCAGCTGCCTTCTTGCTGTGTACTCACATGGCCTTTTCCTCTGTACATGTGCACACCTGGTATCTCTTTCTCTTCTTATAAGGACACCAGTCCTGTTTGATTAAAGCTCCACACTTTTGCCCTCATTTAATCTCAATTCCCCCTTAAAGGCCTTATCTCTAAGTACAATCATATTGTGGGTTAGGACTTCAACATATAGAATTGAGGGGACACAATTTAGTTAATAATAATTGGGTAGTCTGCATTCCCTGTGATAGAATAATTCTTTCTTTTCAATAAAAGTGACATTATCAGTATTTACATTGCACACTCTGGCAGTTTCCTACCTTATCTTCTTTAGGATATTTTAACATTCTGAAGACAAAGTAAAAATCTATTATTTATTCTTGTTCATTGAGTGTGAACAATAAGTTTGACTTCTAGAGGCCACTGAAGCTTGGTAAAATGAATAAATTATCTACCCAGGAGGTCAAACATTGGTTCCAGATGACAAAACAAAATCCAAATATCTCTATTAAATGAGAAAAGAATGTTGTACTCAAAACAGGACATTGGGGTGGCTCAAACCTGAGACTTGTCTTCTCCACCAACTGCTAGACCCCAGGGCTCCATGCTGTCGCCCAGCCACTGGCCAGTGTCTATACAGGTGCTAGGTACTTGGGTTCCTAGATCTCTGTGTCCCACTCCATGAGTGTGTGGGGGAGCTAGGGGTCTGGGGACATGGTGGGCATAGGGGGCATCCGGAAAGAGAAGGAAACTATACAATATGTGAATAAACACCCGGCCTCTTACCTGGAGAAGATAAGGAGCCTGGAGGCTGATAGTTGGAGGCTAAAAAGTAAAATACTGGCACATCTGGAGAAGAAGGAGCTCCAGGTGAGAGACTGGAGTCAATACTTCAAGACCATTAAGGACACGAGGGCCCAGATTTTGCAACTTCTGTGGACAATGTCTGCATTGTTCTGCAGATTGACAATGCTGGCATTTCCACTGAAGACTTCAGAGTCAAACATGAGACGGAGCTGGCCATGCGCCAGTCTGTGGAAAGTGACTTCAATGGGCTCTGAAAGGTCACTGATGACACCAATATCACTTGGCTGCAGCTGGAAACAGAGATTGAGGCTGACTCTGAAGGAAGAGCTGCTCCTTAGAAAGAAGAACAACTGAGAGGGAGTAAATGGTCTACAAAGCCAGACTGCCAAATCTAGGTTGACTGTGGAGTTGGATGTCCCCATGTCTCAGAACCTAATCAAGATAATGACAGACAACTGAGATCAATAAGACAAGCTGGCTCAGAAGAACCTAGAGGAACTAAACAGTACTGGTCTCAGCAGATTGAGGAAAGCACCACAATGGTCACCTCACAGGCCACTGAGATAGGAGCTGTTGAGATGTCACTCATGGAGCTGAGATGTACGGTCTAGTCTTTGGAAATCAACCTGGACTCCATGAGAAATCTGAAGGCCACCCTGGAAGAAGTGGAGATGCTCTATGCCAGGCAGATGGAACAGTTCATCGGGATCCTGCTGCACCTGGAGTCAGAGACGGCCCCGACCCAGGCAGAGGTACAGTGGGAGCCCCAAGAGTATGAGGCCCTGCTAAACATCACAGGTCAAGCTGGAGGCTAAGATCACCATCACCTGCCGCCTGCTGGAGGAAGGGGAGGACTTTGATCTTGGTGACACCTTGGACAACAACAACTCCATGCAATCCACCCAAAAGATGATCACTCACAGGACTGTGGATGACAAAATAGTATCTGAGGTCAATGACACCAAAGTTCTGAGGCATTGAGGCAGAAGCGGGGCACCCTTGCAGGATGGGGGCAGAAGGCCATTAAAGAGTTCAGGTATCATTGAACATTTTTTTTTTCAAAAGAACACGATGTTGGTCATGGAAAATCAGATTTTTTCTTTCAAATATCCCTAAAACTTTCCTTTCCTGCTTTCTCAGTTGTTGTCAGTTGGGTCAATCCTTCCTTAGTAGAGTTTTTCCTTCTAATATTTCTCACCATATTTCTACTTAAACCAAGAGAGAATGCAGGACTTTCGGGTTTATTTTGGGAAGAGATGATAGAATGCCATATGGCAATTAAAGAAACTCACTGCCTATGCAATGGAAATGTTATTTCCATCCTCATTTCATCTATTTTATATCTTTTTTTTTCCCTAGAGATTTATTGCCTTGCACTGTAGCTCCAGCTGACCCAAGACAGTTTTGTGTTCCATCCCAATTTGGATCCTCTGTTCTACCAAATGCAAATATGCCAAACATGATGTTCAATCGTGTCTATTCAGGTATGAGCAATCGATGGCTCTCATCTGTGGAGCCACCATGAACTGGATGGCTATAGGATATAGCGGTTATGCTTGTAGTTTCTGCAGTTAATACTTAGGTTTAAATTACGATTGTATGACCAAGTGTAAGTTGCTTCACTTCCCAACCATCAATTTACTGATGAATAACCTGAAAATCTACAGTATTACTATCTGCCTTATCCTACACGTAAGGAACTGATGAGGTCATGAGGAAATGAGAGCTGAAAGTCAAAGGGGCTTGGGGAATTTAATATGTGGCCTGATAAGTCTTAGTGAGGACTTGTCTTTTATTCTGAGTAAGAATGAAAAGCTTTTGATGAGTTTAAACAAGTAATGACATGGTCTGACTCACTTTTTACCAGGACCACTCTGGCTGTTGTGCTGGGAACAATCTTGATAGAACAAAGCTCTGGGGATAAACTGATGGTAGTAAATGAGTTATTAAAATAGTCAAAAGATTATGATGGCTTGGCCCTGGGTGGTGACAGTAGGAATACTAAGAAATGATTGGATTTTGTAATTATTTTGAAGAGAGAAACAAGATTTTCTCATAGTTTAGCTATTTGATGTGAGGAAAGGAATGTTAAGGATGGCATCCAAAATTTTGGTCTGAGTAATCAAAAAGGTGAAGTGGCTATTAATGGAGTTGAGGAATACTGTGAGAAAAATGGAGTTCTTGGGGCAGGAGAGATATTATAGGCTCAGTTTTGCTCATGTTACAATTGAGATACTTAATAGACAATCAATGAGAGATGTCAGGAAGGCAGCTGAAGTCCAGGGAGGACTTCTGGAGACAATGGCAATATAATTTTGGAAGTTATCAGCATACATGAGACTAGATGAGATCATCTAGTGAGATCATCAGTCACTATATAGTGAGTGTAGATAAAAGTTAAAAGACTGATCCCAGGGACATGCCAGCAGGGTCAAGAAGAGGCAGGGAAACAAGCAAAGGAAAGGTAGAAGGAGCAATCAGTGAAGTAGGAGAAAACCCAGGAGAGTGTGGAGGCCTAGAAGACAAGGGAAGAAATTATTTAAGACGAGATTGAGCAACTGTGTCAAGTATGCCACCCATAGATCAAGTAGATGAGGAATAAAGATATATGATTAGATTTAGCTATGTGGGTGTCATTGGTGATCTTGATAGGAGCCATTTCAGTGAAGTGAAAATATGACTGGTGGGGCCTCAAGAGAGACTAGGAGGTGAGAATTTTCTCACCACATTGAAGATCAAACTGATGCATCTTATCTTCCCAAAACTATATTCATGAGTTTCTGTTTGTCCCTGCTTCCCAACTCCAACAAGTCTTAATAGATAGGAAAGAAAGGAGTGAAAAACCTGACCCAAAAAGAAATATGATTGGTACCAGGGCTAGTGAAGACACTGCCCTGCCTGGATTTGAGCTACTACAGTGCATGGATCCACTGCACTGAGACTGGGTGCTCGAGCAGTATGAAACTAGAAACCCACACTGGAGTGGCCCGAGGACCAAATAAGGCAGCTGATTCTGGGTGGAAGTCCCACCTGGCAGCAAGAACCCAATAAATCAATAGCCATGGTTACAGGCAGCAGATGGATAGACCACAGACTCAGAGTGTCCCTCTCAGAGATGGAGAATTCAGAAACTGTCAATTATTTGGAGACAAACAGGCAGGTTGATCATCTGTCCCAGGAACATAGGTCAGGTCTCTCACCTCAAGGCTGATGTGCAGGTAAGTAAGCAAAGGCAAAGTAAGGCCTTAGTCCTATAGAAACTGAGCTTCTAAGTAAGTTGGCAAAACATAAATTAAGACAAGGGTCTATTTCAAAAATTGAGGTACTAAGTAGAGAGTGATATTTAGACTAGCACTATGTTTGAGGTCATTTATTTGGGAAAGAGAAAGATACTTGGAACAGTATTGATGAGTTGGATTTCAAAAGGTCCTAAAATCTCAGTGATTAGAATTGTGTTCTCTACACTGGACTTCTCACATGGACCTTCTCTGTATCCTTGGGTAGTACGCCATGAGCTGTCACTGTCCTGCATGTCAGCTGGCTAAAGGTAAATATCTTGAAGCAACTGAACTATAAAAATATACAGTGCTAAAGTTAGAAGGATTTTAGAGGTCACCTCCCCTAACTTCTGATTTTTAAAAATGACAACAAATCTCAAAAAAGATATAGTGAGGTTTATTTCAAGATAGATTAACATCAATAGTTTAATGAGCTCTACTAGCTCAGCACAGAGCAAGTATAAGAAAAAGCTCTAGCTATCATGATACTTACCCTCCTTTTGGGGAGAACAGATTTATACAAGTAAAAATATAATTGAACAAAACTGTATAATAAGTACAATTTTTGTGTCTATTGCTATTAGAGTGTACTTTGTGGACCTATGCTGGTCTGTGAAGTGTTTGTACAAATAAATGTATAAATAGAGTAAGGGCTTAGAAACTTTTATAGCAATTTGATGGAGTAATTTTATGTCTATTAATCTCATACTTTAAAAAAATTTGCTTGTATTTGTTCTTGTTTTCATTTCATTTTTCTTTAAAAAAACCACTTTATTGTATTTTTTTAAGTGTTGGTCCATGATGGGTTGGAAATTTAAAAAGAAAAAAAAGTTCAGTGTCTTCACTATAAACCATAGATGGTTTGAGAAACACCAGCATAAACTTTAAGCACATTGGGAGTGCACATAAAGAAAAAAAAATCAGTATAGCATGAAGTTACTAGGCAAGAGCAGACCTTGAATTCTGGTTATGCTCCCATTATTTCAAGACATTTTAGAAGGTTGACATAAACAAAGAATATAATTGCTACTCAACTCCATTGAAACTGTTTCAGAAAACATATTTTCCTCAGATACACCAAAACGTTCACATAGGGAACAATATATTTTATCCACTTAAATGATGAGTTTATTTCTAGGGATTTCAGTGCATCAGGAAGCACTTAACAATTTTTTTAAAGGTCAACTAAATCCTCTTGTACCAAAGGGGAAAAAGAGCTATCAATTTTTACTTTAAAAGCAAGAGATCAAGAGATCCACAGTTTATTTCATCTTTTTTCTTTTGAAAGATGGGAGGAAATGTCACCAATCATGAGACCCATTCTTAAAGAAAAAAAATTATCTAGTGTTATCATGCCCTCACCAAAGTGACTCTAAGATGCTGAACAGCAGTAAGCTGATACTGTTTCCAATATTGTGCTCAACTGTCATTTTGCAAATAATATTTTAATAATTATATTTTTTTATTATTTTCAAATGGATGTTGTTAATTTGTCTGTGGGGTGGGTGGTGATTTTCTTTCTTAAGGTTGGGGCATTTTACCATCTGAATCCATAAAGACAATGGCCAGAAGGAATGAAATGATTCAAAGGCAGCATACTGCCAGGTAACGTAACAGTGCTGCTTTATTTATTTTCTAATCATTCCCTTGTTTGTTTATTCATTTGTTTTAGACAGATAAGTAAATAGATACAGCTATATATTCCTTTGTTTATTATAGTTGTATACTGTTGTATTTGTTCATGCTGTTATATTTGTGCATATATGTACTCTGAATGAATGTATATGTACATATCTATGTATACAGCTCTTTATATAGATATATACACACATACACTCTGATTACTATGATTACTTACAAAAATATTTCAAGAATATTACAAAAAGAAACAAATGAATACATCTACATAGGTTGGTTAAGGATAAAAGCAAGATTATAAAATTACATAGTGAAGCTAAGTTTATAGACTCTACTAGTTTGTCAATGTCTCTTGAAAAAATGCCTAGCTGCAATTCCTCTGAAATTCATATTGGCATTTTTGTCTTAAACGACTTTAGTTCTCCCCAAAAGTAGGAGCCAAGCTTGCCAACCCCACTTTACACAGCACCATCAGAGCCCAGGCAGCCACATGTCAGCCCAGCAGTGGCCTTCAGCTGTAGCTACCAGGAGAAAGAAAAGGGCATGACTAGTGTATGGCCTGTGGGGAAGAGAAGTTATCAGAGGTCGTTTTCTCACCACTGAACTCTAAAACGTCCAGGTGACGACCGATAAGCAAACTAAAGGAAGCAAAATCACCAAGCCTTCTTGCTCCTCCCCCTAACCCCTGCAACTTGAAGTAATTCGTAATCATTGGGACTTGCATTGACTTACTGTACTTCTTGAGTCCCACTAAAAGTATATGGCAAGGTTTAAAAAACTCTTCCAGAACTTTAGTTTCTTTGAAGATTGATCTCTGGCAAGAAACTACCCTGTGCTGCATTATTAATTTATAGTTAAAATGTATGTAAATTTAACAGACAAAACTGTTAAATTTGTCTTATCTATTAGAGGTAAGTCTCTATAGACAGGTCTTAGGCTTCCATTGTGACAGTCAGCCATGCCCTTTACCCTCAGATCTTATCCCAAACTTTCATTCACAGTGGCTTTATGGGGGATGTGTGTTTTCATCCAGGGAACTTCAGATAAGTAGTGTGAAGACCCACAGGAAAAACAGAGGTGCTGTCTGAGGAAAGGCAGAGGGCTATTAAAATTATATTTCATCATTTAAAATTTTATTGAATTTATTGGGATGACATTTGTTAATCAAATTATATAGGTTTCAAGTGTGCAATTCTATGATATATCATATGTACATTGTATTGTGTTCACCACCCAAAGTTAAGTCTCCTTCCGTTACCATAAAATTTTATTTTTAATTGTTTTCTTGGCTTGTGCAAAATGCATTATTTTGTTTTTAGGATGGAAATGGAAATGCGTGCCATTTGCCAGCAAAGGAAGATAGAAAAAGTGAATCCCAAGGGATTAGCAGGTCTGCAGATACCATTCCTCTATGGCTCCAGTTTCTCAGCAGGCCCAGCCACCTGCCACCGCAGGAACATGCTCCCTGCCAGCGACCTGAATTTACGCAGACACTCCCTGAGAAACCTTCATGGAAACCCCATGCTAGTGGCAACTGGTCCATGCTATCTAGAGGGCTGGGCGCAGAAATGTCGTCATCTCAGGAGAGGCACAGGGAATCAGAAGGTTCTAGACAGTGACACTGAGAGTTCCAAAAGTCAAGCAGAAGAAAAATCCCTAGGCCAGATCCATGCGGTTCCCAATGAAGAGGATGAGTATGCAAAAGGCCCAGAAATCGAAGCTAGCAACAGCCAGAAGTCAAGAGAGATCAATGAAAAGCCACCTGCAGTTCTTGCCAATACCTGTGGAGAGTCGGAACCCAGCCATAGAAAACCCTGGGGAGCTCTTTCTGCTCAGATGGAGGCAAGAGCCTGTGACGGTGGGAAAGAGAAGGTTTCAGAGCAGTTTTCTGCAGTCTGTGGCGAAAAGAATGGGGTGTACCCTCCAGTTCCTCAAGCATCTTTGCCAGGCAGGTATCCAGACGCCAAAAGCAAATGGCAGATTCTCATGAAGCACAGGTCATCAAGTCCTTAAGAAATTACATAGTGAACAAAAACCATCATGCTCCTATTTATTCTTCCTTTTCTTAATCTTATTTAGAATTACCTCTTCTCAAAGTCACTTTATTACTTTAGTTCCAAGAAACTATATCCATGAAATTCATCTCTGTGTATTGCTATATAGAGAATTTACAGCAAAGGTTAGGAAGACAAATATAAGGAAGCATGTCACAACCTACCAACATTTTTAATTAAAACTTTAATTTAATTTGCTGTTAATTTCTTCAACACAAAATAGAGGGGCTTCTTGCATAAAAATATGAATTCTATCTGTATTTAAGTGTGGGAAAAAATAAACATAGTATTAACTTTCAGTGTCCATTATTGTTAATGATATCTTCTTATCTAAAGACATAAACTCACTACTCCCTCCAAAACACTGAAAAGTTTTCTAGAACTTCTTTAGATAAAAATATTTTAAAACACAAGGATTGGGGGAGGAGGTCACAATATAGCCACCAGACCAACTGCTTCCCTTGCAAAGTGTTAATTTGCCATTTTGATGAAGATATGCAGCTAAATCCTTGGGTCCCCTCGAAAGCATGATGAATCATTAATGTCACAGAACATAGTGGGGTTAATCTGCAGAATGAAATCCACAGGGCATTTCTATGACTCTGAGAGAAGCAGTTCTGGAACATCTTTGTTTACTTAATGCTGTCAGTAAAGATCTTTTAGAGAAAGAAAAGAAAGGAGGCCACTAAGATTTTTAGAAAACCTATCTCAATAACTTTTCATATATTTTAAGGAGTTTACATGCAGATCTATATAAAAAGATCACTATGTGGTAATAAAATGCGAGGAAATTAATGTGGCTATACATAAAACTCTACTCTTAGTGAACTTTTTCCCCTGGAAATTTTATAATTTACACAAACACAACACCAAATAATTTTCTTTCTATTTTAAAGGGACACACATGCTGGTTACAAGTGGGGAAAACGTGTCTTTGGATGAAGACATTCAGAAATGGACCGTGAATGATGTGTGCAACTTCATTAGTGGCCTTCCGGGTTGCTCAGACTATGCTCAGGTGAATTAAATTTAAGTATTTTCATAGAAGTAAGATACTTTGAAATATATTTCATTCACAATGAGTTGTGTCAAACTTGCATTTTGCCCCCAGAGAGGATTCCTAATAATCTCCCCCTTTTTATGGCAAAGGCTACTCTGGGGCAAGACTCTGATCAGTGGGGCTGGGGGCCTGTGTCTAGCTTTAGTCTTTATTCCATCAAGACTCCTGAGAGACGGTGATTCTCCGCAAGTTAGGAGATTCGGAGACCAGAAAAAATGAGAAATGTCTACTACCTTCCTTATTCATTCATAAATAAACATTGTGGGGGCACATACTTCGGTACCAGAAGTTTCAGGGTGCTCATAATATGTAATGGGGAAAAAATATATATATAATGCAGTATATGTATATATATGTATATGTGTGTGTGTATACACACACACACACACACACACACACACACATTACATTTTAAAAAGGACAAGAAGGCAATAGATCTGAAAAGTCGGGAATCAACTGTTTTTAAATTCTTTATTTATGCTATGACAGTATACAAAACTGCATACACACATATAATTCAACCTAGTAGATAAATATTACACTTTTTAAAATTACAGTAATGTCAAGACAATTGGAATAAAGACTAATTTCATTCATATGAGTAAATTAGTTACAAAATCATGGATTGACAAGTTTTTAAAGTTTATGTCAATGCTTCATTTTCATGCATATAGTTTACTTTTTCAAGTGAATTAATAACACAATTTCAAGCAACAATGTGTCTCTTAAATCTGGTATTGTTATCTTTATTTGTTATGATGTATTTTTATATATTAAAGAAAAAACAAAACAGGGACATTTGATATAACAACATCATAATTAACTGTTAGAAATAATTTTTTTTCAGATCTTGGTTAGAGAATATTTTTCTTTATGTGATGCTGTTTATCCTTTTTAATTTTTCTTCTGTTATGAGACTTATAGAAAAGTTATATAGTAGTAATTAAGAGTATGACTTATAAAACCAGGCAGTAGAAGTTCAAATCCTAGCTTTTCCATTTCTGGGACGTGTGATCTAAGACAAGTTGTCTCCCTCTTCTCTATGTCTCAGGTTTTTCATCGGTAAAATGGAGATATCAAAATAGACTCTCCAAGGATTGTTGTAAGCAGTAAAGTGTTCCTGGCACTTTGTCGGTATTCAATAAATGTTAATTTCATCATATCAGCCAGAAACAAGTAACCTCATGTATAACATCCATTTGATCGCTGATTTCTGATGGATTGAATCTGTTTGAACACTCATTATTATTAATCAGTCAGTGATTCAGTCATAAAAATGCAGTTTATAATAACCATTCTTGTAATAAATAATGTTACATGCATTTCAAACTTTATCATCCCAAATGTCCTCTTGGGTACACAGAGAATCACATAAACACAAACACCCAAACTTTGCTGACTCATTATCTCTCACCAACAGGATGTCAATACTCCCTATCGCACCCCAAGAGGCAGAAGTAATTGTTTCTAGGTGTTTCGTAAATGCGTTCAGGATCAAGCCCTGCTCTTATTTCCTCACTGACGTCCATTCCCTCCCAGCGACTCCTGGTGAGATAAATTGCAGGAACACTGCTGCTGCCCTGGGCCGACCCCACCGCAGTGAGTGCCAGTGTTCTCTGCAAAAACAGGAGAATGCCCTGGGTGCGCGGTGCAGACTGGGTGCCGCGAACTCTTCAGCAGCACTGCTTGCTTGTGCACAACCCTCGCAAGTACCGTTGTCTAAAACGTGCCTTCAGCTTTTATTCACAGCCCCAAGGACCAGGCAAGGGTATGCCCACTGTTTCCCACCCTCTCCTTCCTTACCTCAGCCTTAGGCGCTTACTCAGCAACCTCTCTCCGCCTGCCTCCTGTAGATAGAAAAAGAAATTTAAAAAATAATAATAACCACAACTAAAACCCAAGCCCCTATGCAAATGAACCTTTTAAAATAGATCCAGAGAGAGGAGGATGGTGGCTCAGCTGTTCAGGGACATCCAGGAGATCCTTATGTTTGTTGAAGTAAATGTCTAGTTCAAAGAACTCAGCAGATAAAATATTCACTCTCTAAAAGTAACTGAAATTGCTAGAAGTATGGCCTACACTGCTCTCATGAGAAGGAGAATGAGACACCTTCTGAGAGACAGTGGCATGTCCCGTGTCTTTGCCTCGGGCCCAGGCTGCACCCACCGTGGCCGGGCGCTCAGCCCTCACGTACCGCAGGCCCTGGCTGCCCGACTACCTCTGGAAATGGTTTCCCTTCGCTGCTCACTGGAATTCCTGCCAAGGAAAGAGAAACGAGGCGAAATTTCCACCGGTAGTGTACTTAGTGATTTTCATCAGTGCTCCTTTTTCTGAATGGCAGTGGGATTAAGTAGGGAAAATCCTGGATCAGAAGTATAAGCAATATATTATTTTATGAGTTCTCTAACTGGCAAGCTGTGCTTCTTGGGCAACTCACCTAACATTTTCTACGTAGCTCTCCATTTAATTATTTTTTTTAAGTCATAATAATAATGCCTATTCTTGTCGGATTGACCTTATGTGAAGCACTGCACTAAGCACATCATTTTTAAATTTAGTCTTTTAAATTTAGTCGATACCATAATTCTGCAAAGAAGACACTAATGCTATTTTGCAGCTAAACAAAACTGACATCAGGGGGCTGAAAGAGTGAGTACTTGACAAATGTGTATGTGACCACAAATCTAGCTTTTTAACTACCATTATAATTACTCTACATGAAAGATATTAGGCCACATGGTTCCTAGTCAAGAGTCAAGAGCCCCTAGCTTCACCTGCTAGGAGTTCATTAAAGTGGTAAAACAGATCCTTAAGTAATTCCTTATATTTCAAAACACCCAAGAGAGAGCACACATTTCCCCAACAGAAGGCTACAAGACTAACCCAAACTGTCCTTTTGTTTTTTCCCAAATTAAGTTAATTTATTGAGCCATTTTATAATTTGTTTAATTAAAATTGGGAAAGAAATAATTACTTAATGAATATATTTCATAAATAACTGAAATATATTAGCACACAAAGTCCTGGGACAGAGGCTTCCCAAGAAGACTCGTTTTCAGCTGATTCTGAGGCATGCCCTACAAGGCCTGGGGCACACAGTGGAAACAAGACAAGCACGGTTCCTCTTCTCCGGGAGCTTCCAGTCCAGCAGAGGGACACGAATGAGGGACTCCAAATCCATGTGACCGTGCTGTGAGAGGGCAGGCACATGTCTGGTAGGGACACACAGGGGGGCCTCATGGCTTCCCAACGGAAGAAGCACCAAAAATGAGACCTGAAGTTTACTAGCTGAGCAGAGTAGCAAATAGTTGGGACTTTGAGAACAGTTTCTAGGGGCCCAAAGCGGGCCAGGGCCAAGTGGGGAGAGGTGAGAATGGCAAGGCAGGAGACTGGAGTTGGAGAAGGGTCCAGGTCACGAAAAGCCTTACGACCTAGTGATGGACCATGACTTTATGCTGGAGACAGTCAAGGTTTTAAGCGGGAGCGGCGTGATTAGCTTTGCGTGTCAGAGGGGTCACTCGGGTTACTTTTATGAAAATAGATTGCAGGTGGCCAGACAAGTGGGAAAGCCTCCCCAGATGAGCAACAGTGGAATTTGAGTCAGGGTAGTAACAGCGGGGCTAGCAGATAAATACACTTCTAAGTTAGATGTGCATTAGAGAGCCTGCAGTGTAGAGAGACACTCACTGAAGCCCAGAGGGAGACTGCGACAAATCAGGAACAATAGAGAGGACCTGGGTCAGAAGCCTAAGGGACTCTACCACATAAGGATGGACAAAGAAACAGTAGCCAAATAGAGGACGGCAAAGGAGAGGGCAGAGGATACTCGGAAGAGAGAAGCCTCATGAAGGCAACGAAGGACAGTTTTCATGAAGAGGTAGTCAACTATGTACTGCAGCCATGAGCATAAGAAATATGAGGACTGGAAAAAATCCATGTGTTTGGAAATAACAGAGTCACCAGGGACCCAGAGGAGAGCAGGTTTGATGGACAGGTGAGAGCAGAGGGCAGACTCTTTGAGACTGAGGAACATCTAGGAAGTAAGAACATGGAAACGAAGAGCATTGCAACTCTTTTGAGAAACTGGGCTACAAAGGAGATAAGAGACATGGGCAGTATCTGGACGCAGAGTGAGGAAGCATGTGCATTATTATTACTATTATTATTTATGACTATTATTCCTTGTTTTATGATATTGGAGACTTGCTTAAATGCCGACAGGAAAGAGCCAAGGAGGAGAGCTTGAAGGCCAGAGAAGGGATTATTTACTGAGACCCCGAGGTGGGAGGGGTGAAGACCCACAGCATACATTGAGAAATTGTCTTTCAACGGTGAAGGACCCCTCTTCCACATATCAGGAGAGAGGGAGAAAATTTAAGTTTTTAGGTTTTGGGGGCAGAATTAGAGGAATTTCTTACCTACTGGTTTCCTTTTTTTAAAATTAGAAAGTTTTATGATCTATTGAAAATAAGGGAAGATCTTGCAACATCTAAAGTTTGAGGATTGTCGAGGAAACTTGAAATAGAAAGAAGAGAAAGTTCATCAGTAAATATAGAATTGGCAGGCAGGTTGAAGTTGGAGATCATGAAATCATGGTACTACCAATCTGCTCAGTTTGTTTCTAACCATCTCTTTATCTGCCTGGAAACTTCGCCCACCAGCAGCCTTCTTAGTTTCTGGAAGAAAGGAAGGCTTGGTTACATCCATTACAGATTACACAGTCAGGACACATAGGCTCCGTTGGAAAGGTCTGGCACGACAGCTCCCGCCTGCAATTTCTCTCCTCCCTCTGCCATTTAGCTGAGGCAGTGGGTGGAAACTGCTACACCTGTAAATGTGAGAGATGAAATCTGTCTGTGATGGTTTTTACCCACACCTCTTTATTCAGACTATTTGTTCATTGATTTTTCCAGCAACATTTATTGCCAGTCTTCTACTGTGTTCTGGCCACTGCATGACTGATATATTGGTAAATAAGGCATGAGCCTGCTCTCAAATATTAGCTAGTCTGGGCTGGAACTGAGTTCCATAAACAAAGAAGTACAATATATTCCAGGGTTATCAAAGGACACAAGCAATGTGTGACTGGGCACAGAACAGAGCGTATCTGAAATAAGAAATTTTATAAAATTTTGTGTCATACCCCAAAAGTCTTAATATTTCCTCCAAAATTAAAATATCTGTATATAACACAAGGATTTTTTTTTAAAAGATATTGAGACAAAACTAACATCTTTTGTGTTTTGTAAGGTATTTAAAGATCATGCAATTGATGGAGAAACTTTGCCATTACTCACAGAGGAGCATCTTCGAAGCACTATGGGACTGAAGCTAGGGCCGGCACTAAAGATCCAATTGCAGGTATGGTGCCTTTTCATACTAAATATGTATTAATGGTATGATGCTTAAGAGAAATGTGACTTTTATCCTGTTGTAATGTTCATAACACCTATTTAATCTCTTTATTAGCTTTTCTCCTCTGTGGGTGGAGATGCAACAGAAGTGAGGGAACCTGAAAACATTGGGTGGGGAAGTAGCACACATTCCTAGGTAGAGTTGGGAAGGCACAAAACAGTGGTGTGCTGGGAAATGCTTAACGCCCAGCTCTCTTCAAAAGGAAAGTGAACCCAGAGTTGTAGCATCTGTCAGTTTCATTAGTGTAAATACTCCCACCATGGCTGACAGACTCTTAACGCAGTGTCACTGGATACAGAATTAGGAAGAGATGCCATCTGTGGCTAAGCAGAGAACACTGGGTTATTGAAAGAATTAGTAGACTTAATTACTATAATTATTTTGTCTTCAAAGGTGTCTCAACATGTGGAAAGTATGCTCTACAAGAAAAGTTTTTCATTTCCTACCCATACAAAACAAGCATTTGATCAACAAGCAGATACATCCCCTCCTCTGGATTTTAATTCCTGGGGTGATACATTGGGCAGTACTTGTTCCCAGGATATAATAATTCCTAAAGGAATCAAGCGAAACATTACGAGAAATTAAAACCCTCAAGAAGCAAGGACCGTCTTAGTCAGTTTTCCAAAGAGTCTAGGATATTCTGAAGGATGTGTGAAGGTTTCCCAGGACCAGAGGGAGGCTGAGAGGGAGAGAAAGCCAGCCCTCCTGAAGTTGTCTCAGAGGAGGCCTTGCCCAAGAGGCTTCCCAAAGTGACCTTAGCACAAAGTGGCTGAGGCAACTCCTTGGAAGCACAAGCTAAATGAAGAAGAGACTGTGCAAACGTTTAAAAAAGCCGCATGTGGGGGTTTCCATAAGGAAAACCCTGAAGAAGCCAAAACAGCTGATATTGAAAAAAAAAAAAAAAAGAGCTCTTTAACCTCTCTTCACTCATTTCCCATTCCCCGAAAAGAGACAAAGGCAACCCAGTGTAGCCAGAAGGAGGCAGAAGAGAAAGTGAAGTATGAAACAGAGAAGCTGACCATAAGACCTCCCCACTTGTTCCTTGCAGCCTTCCAGGCTTAAAGTGTCTGCCTTGGGTAGGAAAGGGCGGACATTTTAACCTTCACGTTGGGCGTCTATTAGTCAGCATTTTCTTTCTGTCTGACACGACCCTATGTTGTGACTAAAAATAACTGGCAGGCTCCTCATTATCTGCAAGGGACATGAAAAGTCATAATACCCACCTCAGATTTCGCCCAGGGGGTGGAGTCGAGTTATCTCTGCAAAGCACATTTGAATTGGCAAGACGGAGGGCAGAAGATTAAAGCGGCCTCCTGCGCGTGCCCTGTGGAGCTTGCATCCAGCAGAGAGCCCCTGGAGGGTACACCAAAGACTGATCCAAGTTTGCTGAGGGACTGGGGGAGTGATGAAGGCTGGGTGCCAGGGGGTCGGAGGGAGACTTACCACACACTCTCTTATACATTTTGAATTTCTAACCATGGGAATGTGTTTTCCATTTTTTTAATTTAAATTTAAAATAAACTGTAGTAAGCAGCTTCTAAGGTGGTCCCCAGTGATCTCTGCTTTCTAACATTCATGTCCTTATGTAATGCTCTCCCCTTTTCAGTGGGCTGGACTTAACTGTCTTTTAATGAAAGAAATATGAAAGGCATGAGGGGATGGCACTCCGCAGTTTCTGTCTGCGGTGCTCTCTCCCACTCTCTTTGGAATCCTTGCTCTTGAAGAAGCCTCTAGGCAGCCCTGTAGAGAGGCCCATGTGAGGAACTTGGAGATGGATCACCTGAGCGCTGCCAACAGCCGCAGGAGGGAACTTGAAGGCAGTTCCTCCCGGAGTCAAGCCTTGGGATGGCGATACAGCCTCTGCCCGCAGCTCGAATGGCAGTCCTGAGCCAGGGGCCTCCAGCTAAGACGCTCCTGGATTTTGACACACAGAAGCTGCAAGATAGCAAACGTGCTGTTTCCAACCGTTAAGCTGTGGGGTAATTTGTTTGACAGCAGTAGAAAACTAAAATAAACACGTTGCCTCAATAAACATATATAGTATACGATACACATTCACTTTTTGATTTGGACCAAAGTGGACTTTTGCAGCAGGTGGGCTTTCTTCTCTAATTTGCAGAGAAGGGGCTTTTGAAGTCATTCCCCCACAAATTATTCTAATTCAGCTGAGCTTTTCTTTTTTCCTTTTTAAATATAAAAACAACAGGGTTGTTGACATTTTATTATCAAATATGCACGTGACTTGCTAGTTTACTCTTTGGAGACACATATACGTGCATGCGCGCACGCACACATACACAGAATCCCTTCAGATTTTAAAATTTTAAGAAGGTTTGTCACATGGCCTTTCAACTGCTGTAATTCCCAGCATACAGCAGTTTCACAGGATGCCAAATGTAAGTTAACAGATGCTATGGTGTGGGTAAAAAGAAAAGCTTAATTAATATTTTTAGAAGCAAAGAAATCACGAAGCTTAATCCATATGATGGCTTTTGAATTTCTTATTCCTGCTAGATGAGTCAATGGAGCTGGTAACTGATTCATTTGAACAGATGTTTCTCAATGTTGCTCTAAGAAAATATTCTGATATGCCATCCTGGCATGTAATGTGATTAATTTTAGATCCATAAAAAAAGAACCAGAGGACACATGTAAATGAAGCTCTCCCCATCTCTTCTTGAGAAGAAAAGGAGACAAACTGCTCCTTGTTCATACTAAGACTGCTTTCCTTCCAGATTAATAATTCGAGGGTACCTTTTAACCAAAGACCCACTTTAGTAACTAAAATGATTTTGGAAGGCGAATATTTTACTCATACAGAAGTAGTTGTTTTTAACTTTTCTGCAAATGCTACTTTAGTCTTGAACATCCTCTGTACCTTTTGTGAGAATTAAACAGAAGCAACAACAAAAACCTCTCTTATGTTTAAAAACGAATCACAACAAATAAAGCTGTGTTTGCTAAATAGGAACTTCTGACTTATGATAGAGAGAATAAACATATATAATGGAACACTGTGCAACTGTTTCCCCTGTGGAAGCATTCGAGCTATTAAAAAGCAATAATAGAATTCAAATATCACTAACTGGAACCTCTAAAAAAGAAAGGATTTAGAGACTGATGATAAATGGTTGCTGACATCACCAAAAGAGAAACAACCAGACCTTATATGCCTTCTGATGGAAGTCCATGAAACAGTTATGAAAATAGCAAAATCCAAACTGTGGGAAACTGTATAGTAGCAATTACCTGATTGTCTTCAACAAATTACAAGGAAAAACAGAGAGAGGGAAAAGGAAAACCAATAGATTAAAAAATACTAAAGATTCAGACCACTTAGATGTAAAAGTTTTGGAAATAAGTAGTGATGATGGTTGCACAACGTTGTGAGTATAATTAATATCACTGAATTGCACACTTAATAATAGTTAAAATTACAAAATTTATGATATATATGTAAATAGATACTTTACTACAATAAAAGTTGTTTAAAGATTCTAATCACCCAATATAAATATTTGGATGCCTATTGAATATACCATTAAAAATGAAACAGTTGGAGAAATTTGAACACAATTGAAAATATTCAATGCTATTAAAGAATTATTGTCTTTTTAAAAATGTGATAATAGTATTTTGGAGGGTTTTAAAAAAATTTTGGTAAGGATTTTAACATGAAATCTTTCCTCTTAAGTTTTTAAGTGCACAATAAAGTATCATTAACCATAGGAACAATGTTATACAGTAGTTCTTTAGAACTTACTCATCTTACTTCAGTTTTTTAAAAGAGTTCTTGTCTCTTAGAATATATACTGAGATAGATAAAATAACATATGCTGGATCTGGGATTTGATTTTACCTTACAACCAAATAAATTGACCACTTATTGTTTTATGGAGGTTGGAAGAATACTCAAGACTCTTGGGTCAGAGACAAAGGACTTTATTACTCGTGATACAACATGCATCATGAACATCAGCATATTTGGGTTGGTTCCCCTTGTCCTCAAGTGTTGTGGGGTCCACATAGATGGGCTAAAGGACGTCTGCATGTGCAGTGGGTTACTTCACAGCTGAGGAACATTAAGCTTGGGGAACCCTCTAATTTTATAGCAGACGGTAAACAAGCCTGCTCTTTGTCCAGGGGTGGAGGTGGAGTGTGGGGGAGTAAGACGATATTACCTCATCTCTTATAGTTACCAGGTGCATATTTAACAGAGCTAGGAAAACTGTTACCCAACATCCTAGGCACCCATCTTTTAAGCTAATTTCCCAACCACCAAAATCAAAAACAACACTGACTCACCCCTTAGTTGTGTAGTCCATTCTTGACCAGATCCTCTATTTTGGCTCCCAGGAAAAGAGGGAAGTTTTTATATTGTGTTCCAGGTAGAGGAGAAGGTACATCACAAATGGTGCTTTGGATTCACTCTTCCTAGTCACACTGCCAGGTAAGATTAATGCCCCAGGAGGGCTCCTGGCAGCTGGTCATCATCTTTTGTTCATGGTCCCTCCCTGTTTTCCAGCCACTTCCTCTTGCTGAAATCATATCACAGATCTCCTAAATTAGGGCTCTGAGTTCTTGTTCTGCCTTCCCTAGAGAAGCAAACTCAGAAAGTTTTACCCACTGTGAGAAGCTTTCAATTCTCAGACATCTCCCCCATCTCACTCTGTGGAGGGATGTTTCTCCCTGTCTCAGGGACCAGCTTGATAGGGGATGTATCTACATCTCTTGGCCACCAACCCAGCCATTCTAAACTCTTACTACCTCACTTGCTAAGCACTTCCTGTAATAGTAAGACATCCATTCTTTCTTCTAAATTGTTCAATTCTCCTATAATGGTCATCTCAACCAGTCACCCACTCACTGTCCCAGGGTCCTGGGAAATTATGCAAATGACTCCTGGGAAACCAGGGATAATTTTCCTTTCCTTAAGGGCACAGGCCTCTTCAGATGCACACACACTACCAAGCACGATTGATGAGCTGTATTTACACGTGAAACTGAAATAACCTTTCTTCTGTGTCTGCAATCTATTCTGCTGCTTCTCTCTGACTTACAATGGGGAACCCCCCGAAAAACAGAATTACCTTCTGGAGGGCTTGCTTTTTGTAGTGCAGGCTTCACCTGCTAGGTAAGTGTTCTAGGAACCCATCTGTACCAGTGTACTAACTGGTGTTGTTGTGAGAGGCTGCATTTAGCTTTAGTGAATTCTTTTTTTGAAGACTCAACGCTTTTGCCCATTTCATCATGGGTGATTTACCAACACAGTTGCCCACATGGAGCTGAATGTTCAGCAGTTTTTGACCAAAATGGCATGACTCCCATGCCCCGTCCTCCTTATTCATGTGATGTCGCCCTGAGCAACTTCTTTTGTTTCCCTGAATGAGAAAAAAGTCCTCAAAGAGAAATGCTTTGCTGATGTGGAAACAAAAAACAACAGAAACAGAAAAAGCATCAACATTGATGAGTTCAAAAACTGTTCTGAGCAGTGGGAAAAAAACGTTTCAATAGGTGTATTGCATCAAATAAAGAGTGATTGACATGACTGAAGTTTGAACATGTAACTGAATAACACACAATTT